CCTTCCCTAAACGAAAATGTTAACCAAAAAATGTGTTCGGCTTCGTTCCCGAGAACGAGCCATTTTCGTGAACCCCTGCAACCACGTATTTCACCAAATTGTAGTGACGGCCGCACTCGATACCACACGGACGCTCTCTTGGGTTTTTTCGGCTCAAAGCAAGTTTCCGGGTAGCTTTTCTAAGGTCAAGGGACCCAAGCGCCTGTCAGGTAGGCCAACAAACAGCAGACCTGCAACGCACTAGTGACGACGGGGTGGCCTACACTATAAAATCAAATGGGGTGCTTAGTACAAAGCTGTGGGAGTATGCTTGGAAGCATACATCTGTAGGAGTGTGCTTGTCAAGCACACATCTATACAAAAGTGCTTGACAAGCATACATCTATAGATGTGCACCTATAGCTGTGTACTTGGGCAAGCATGCATCTATGGCTGTGTGCTTTTAAATGGGTGAGATGAATGCATGCTTGCCCAAGTACACATCTATAGATGCGTGCTTGCCCAATCACCTTCTATAGATGTATGCTTGACAAGCACAGTCCTATAGATGTAAACTTCCAGGCATACTCCTATAGCTGTGTACTAAGCACACATTTGGTTTTGTAGTGTAGGCCACCCTGTTGTCACTAGTGCGTTGCAGGTCTGCTGGTTGTTGGCCTACCTAACGGGCGCTTGGGTCCCCTGACCTTAGAAAAGAAACCCCGGGAAACTTGCTTCGTAAGCAACAGCTATAGGAGTATGTTTGGGTAAGCATGCATCTATAGAAAACTGCTTGACAAGCATACGTCTATAGATGTGCACCTATAGCTACTTGGGCAAGCGCTTTTTGGCTGTGTGCTTTTAAATGGGTGAGATGAATGCATGCTTGCCCAAGTACACAGCTAGGGGTGCATTCTTCCCTGAGCACACATCTATAGATGCATGCTTGGCCAAGTACACTTTTATAGATGTACACTGAGAAAACCTTCCAAACTATTTTGGGCCTTTCAAAGAAATGTAGTTTGTATAACAAAGTATTTTGAGCATACATAAACTTTCAAAGAAATTACTTCGTAATTTACGAACTATTTCTTCGTATAAAAAAGTATTTAAGTTTGTTATACGTATGCTTAAAATACTTCGAAAGGGTTTTTAAGAGTGTATGCTTGACAAGCACACTCCTATAGATGTATGCTTCCAAGCATACTCCCACAGCTTTGTACTAAGCCACATTTGATTTTATAGTGTAGGCCGCCCTGTCGTCACTAGTGCGTTGCAGGTCTGCGGGTTTGTTGGCCTACCTGACAGGCGCTTGGGTCCCCTGACCTTAGAAAAGAAACCCGGAAATTTGCTTTGAGCCGAAAACCCCAAGAGAGCGTCCAGTGTGGTATCGAGTGCGGCCGTCACTAAAATTTGGTGAAATACGTGGTTGCAGGGGTTCACGAAAATGGCTCGTTCTCGGGAAAGAAGCCGAACACATTTTTTTGGGTTTAAAATTTTCGTTTAGGGAAGGGTTTAAGCTATCTTTTAAGCCCAGATTGGTCAAAATCGGTTGAGGATCTAGGAAAAGGTGCTAATTTGAAAACTTCACTAAAGTTTTTAAAGTTAAAAATAGTTTTTGGACATAAAAACTTCAAAGACAAAAAAGATTCAGTTTTTCATCCTCTTTCCAAATCTGGTCTCGGATTTGACCTACGACGAATGGTTGCTGAGATATTGCCCTCCAAAGTTGCGTTGTTTTAATATATAGCAAAAAAGTAAATTGGCCATACCCCAGCCCCTCGGGGGCCGGACCCCAAACCAAGTACCGATTATTTCATGGGACCATAGGGGTTTAAAAAACCCCGAAAACGAGAACCGGATCGGAGCCCATGGTGGCTGGGTGATTCCGCGCGTAGAGGGCGTTTTCGTGTCCACACCCTCCCCAGAGCGAACTTATTCGAGTGCAGTCCATTTATACACTTAAGAATCTTGTTTGGCACTAGACTAGCTTGTTCCCTTTGAATACGGACTTTTAAAGCCAACCTGTGACGCGGTAGAGGGGCCAAAAGGGTCGATTTTGTAAGTTCCGTCATGTCCATTCGCACCTTATACCAACTTTGCGGCTCTATAACCCTTTGTTCCATTCAAATCTTTGAATTCCCGACGGCTGCATACTGTATGCCGACATGTTGCCACAACGAAGCCGTACGTTGCCTACGTTTCGGGCCCGTTCTGGTCGTCTGGCAACGAGGCGGCAACCAACCCGTAAGCGTTGGTAAGCCAGTTTACGTTACATCTGACTAGAGGAAGCCTCGCCACCGCTACGTCTAGGGGGAAACCTCACGGCTGTGTTGCCCGCACTTGACCCCACCTACGTCACCGCTCCTACATAAATGCTACGGTGCTGCGACTAACGCATTAAAACTAAACGCAGAACCGTCGCTACAGCGTAGCCGCAATGTACCCTGAGTCACGTAAGTGCGGACGCCGCGCCGCTACGTCGCGGGTCGTGCCCCCCGGACACGTGCTTCCGGCAACCAAACGGCGCCATCACGGCCACTCCCGGGGGCTTAACGTTCCCGCAGTGTGGTAGCTGTGACATTGCCACCATATTGCCAACAACACGTTGCACCGCCGTTGTTGCCACCACCACGCGGCACCTACGTAGCAACGACGACTATACGTCAACATTGTAGCCGCCTTGCGCTGGGAAAGCTGCACGCGCGACAACGCCTCTACGTCGCGTCAACGTCGCCGTGCCAACGAGGCCAGCACATGGCCGCGTCAATGTTACCCTAGGAACACAGACTTGTCGATCGACAGTCGAAATTGTATCGGCACGTCGATAGCCGATAACGTTATTTCGCTTGTCGAGCGACTGTCGTCGCACTGTCGCTCGGTCGACATTTGGTGACTCGATGTCGCCATTCTGTCGGCCGGCCGATAACGCGCTCTCGACAACGCTGCGATAGTCGGTCGAAGACGAACGGCCGTTGTCGAGGAATTATCGGGGCCGATGCCAGTGCGATGTGAAAATTTCGACTATCGCGCTCCCGACAACCCTACGATAACGACTGGATGGCAACTGGCCGTTGTCGAGAAGCTGTCGAACTTGATGTTGTCACGATACGGAAAATCTCAGGAAACTCCGACCATCGCGCTTCCGACAACCAAGCGATAACGAATCGGTGGCGACCGGCCGTGGTCGTGGAGGAGGAGTCCTTACCTCAAAAGAGTTGATCCCCGTCCCCTACCTACACTTCCAAGAAGGGTTTTCCCGCTTGCTCACGGCGCTGGCAGGCCTTCAACCTTCCATGCAGCGACAAACAGGCAGTGGGTTTTCCAGTTTCCGCGAATTGATGTTCCCGGCACTGCTCGGCCTGTAGGCCAGCTGGGAAACCGCCGCGACCCCAGGCGACCCCAGCTACATCGCCGCGACACCACAATTTTTTTTCGCGACTCCAAAGTCGAGAACCGCTGCGCTAGGAAGCGAGGGAGTTGATTATACTCAACGTTCTAAGAGACAGGGGTACTCGGACGCTTCTCGGGGACTTCGTGAGTGGTCCGCGCCACGTAGGGCAGATGGTGAAGCCTGTCCGCTCAGCGTAAAACAAAAAGTTGCGGAATCCTCACAAGCCGCCGGCGCTACGGTGCAAGCGCTCCAAAGACGCGTGAAAATTCTAAGTCCCGATGTTGGCGTGGCTTGCGTTGGTGCGGCGCCGTACCCCCCTCCACCGCGCGCAGCAGCCGCACGTAGAGAGCCGCTACCCCCACCCCTGCGCGCCAGCAGCTCGCTGCGGCGCGCTCGGGGCAGGTGCTCGGAGCCGCGCAGCCGTCGTCCTCAACAAGTCCGGTAGTCTCGGGGTAAGCGTCCGCGCTACGATGCTACGGGACCGTGGTTCAACTCCTACCGGCGGCGGGCGCTGAAGCGTCCTTCCGGCGAGGCAAGCGGGTGCCAAGAAATTCGGAACACTCGGATCATCGACATCACTCAAGCATTTAATTTTTTTTTTTTTTTTTTGGGGGGGGGGGCTGTTTGACTGCCGAGTTTGTGATGTCGAGATGTCATCGGATTCCGATGTCGAAAAATCATCGGCGCCGACTGTCGTCCGACCTCGGAAGTTGGGCCATTTCGATGACGGAGAAACGTCGGGGCCGACAGTCGATCGACAATTTTAAGTCGAGGCACCGACAGTCGACCGACAATCTGTCGACTGATCTGTGCTACTAGGGAGGACCGCGGCCGCGCACACCCAAGCTTGACCTGGCCCTGAGCTGATGCAAAGCTCTCAGCAGAGGTTTTTTGAAAAAAATAACAGGGAAAGAAGCGATATACATCGGCAACTTTGGCCCGTCCCAGTGTGACTTTCGCCAATGTTTAACCCTAACGGGATTCGAACCTCAGTCTGGGGTCCAAATTGATGTTATTTTCGTCATCAGCACCCTCAAAAACATCAGAAACAATGCAAACACTCGAATAATAAGAATGTTCAAAATACACCCCAATGGGAATTGAACCCCCAACCCTCTCCGATTCGCTTGAAACTGCACCGTTGGTTTTGTCTCGTCGCGCCGATTCCAAAAATACCCCTACATGCCTTGCTAGCTGTATCCGTAGCCGAAATCCTCCTCGACCCCATGTACATAATAAACGGGACGGGCCAAAAAAACAATAGGGTATTTTAACGAATCCCTTGCCCGGAAGTCAAAGAACAAAAGTAAGAACCAAAACCGCTTCTGCGCATGCGCGGACGTCCCCCTCTACTCTAAGGCAGCGTCTGCGCATGCGCAGAAGACGTTTTGGTTCTTACTTTTGTTCTTTGACTTCCGGGCCAGGGATTCGTTAAGATACCCTATTTTGAATCTGAAAAACCGGCTTTGTTGTGGCAACATGGTAACGCCAACGTGACAACAGCACTGCGGCCGCGACGTTATGGCGAGGCTTTGCCACAGACGCGGTTTCGTGATCCCGGCCTGAACGTCGCCGTTTGCTCGCCGCCGTCAGGTGGAGCCGGCTTTGTTGTGGCAACATGGTCACGCCAACGTGACAACGGCACTGCGGCCGCGACGTTATGGCGAGGCTTTGCCACAGACGCGGTTTCGTGATCCCGGCCTGAACGTCGCCGTTTGCTCGCCGCCGTCAGGTGGAGCCGGCTTTGTTGTGGCAACATGGTCACGCCAACGTGACAACGGCACTGCGGCCGCGACGTTATGGCGAGGCTTTGCCACAGACGCGGTTTCGTGATCCCGGCCTGAACGTCGCCGTTTGCTCGCCGCTGTCAGGTGGAGCCGGCTTTGTTGTGGCAACATGGTCACGCCAACGTGACAACGGCACTGCGGGCGCTACGTCATGGCGAGGCTCTGCCACTGACGCGATTCGGTTATCGCGGCGGGGACAGCGCGTTCTGGTTGCCGCAGGACGGTTGCGCAGTTCAGCAAGTAACCCAACAGCGTTTGATTGTGTGGCTCTTCTTCTCTCTGGATATTGGGTGTTCGAAATCAGCTATCCAGCTCCCTATCTGCAACACATGGAATCATTTGAAGCCATACTCCATGGAAATGTGACAGCAAAGGCCTCCACCCTGTCAAGACATTCCAAAATGGATGAGTTTTTCAGGAAACTAATTATTGCCCCTCCAAATCTAGATTAATTTGGGCTTTACAAACAGTTCAATCTAACTGTTCCCTAATGATTTTGATCTTCACTTATAAGGATAACTAAATAGGACAACTACACAGGATCAAATTTATGTTAATTTTATTGTGACCAAAGTATATTGTCTTTGTCAGGTTACTGACACTTAGGAAATAAACTGTTAAGTTTGTACCAAGGAAAACTCTCTTCCGCAAAAGTTTCGATGAGTTTTGTTTGTTTAGTTTTATTATGTTGACTTTGAAGATAAATTTAATATTGAGTTAGAGCTCTTACGACTGATTTCTTATTATGGATTACATTTGTTATTATGCTCAAGAAAAATTGTTAAGTTTCACATTTTTGGTTAAATAGTAGCTATCATTATCAACTTTGTTGTTGTAATTATTACTGTCACTGTTGGTGTGACTATTTAAAATAAACTATGTTGAGCTGTTACTCACAATGCATTCTTTAAAATACACAATTCCATTATGAAGGAAGATGTTTCATGAACTCGCTTTGAACCCGTCAAGATATAATTTTTTAAAAAAATTTGCAACATGCACTCATTTTAAAGCCTGAATTACAGTGTGGAGGAAAACAAGTTAAAAGCAAAGGCTCTTACCAAATGTTAATGACATGACAACATAAAATTTATTTTAAAAAATGCAACACAGCTGCAGCATAATGAGCATTCAGCGGCATTCAGACAAATCTGCTGAAGAAAAAAACAAAAAAAATATCAAAATCTTGCAATAGATTTATAATCTAATAGGCCCTGCCAAGGTTCACAATGGTAATGCATACTGTAATGAGCAGTTAACTTACAATCACATACAACAATTCCAATACAGAATATGTTTCATTTCTCGCTTGGAATGAACCCTGTGCATGACTGGGTATGAATCCTTCTTCCCTCAAGAAAACTTGAATACTCAAATGCCAAAATTGCAACCATAAAAACCTCACTTAATGTTGTAGACATCAAAAATTGAAATACAATTCAAAAAATGTTGCAGGCAAATCTGGTCTGGCTGCGCAAGAAATTGACAACAAGATAGCCTGCAAGAAAAAATTAACAATAATCAATAACTTGCAAAGGATAAATTTCATAATGAGTCACAACTAAACTAACTTACCTAAGCAACAATGTTACCAGAGCTTCCAGACACAAGGAATGACTTTGTTCTGTTGGGTCCAAAATGGATATCAAATCTTGCAACAGGAAACTGCAGCTTCAGATGAGACAGCTTGATGCACTTGACAACGTTTTCTCTTCTTAGGATTTCAAAAGCATGAAATTTTGAGAAATACGTCACTTTTAATTCATGGTACAGGAACACAAATTCTTCATTAAGGATGAAGATTTTAACAATGATTCCAAAACTAGCATCTGCAGTGTCTCCTTTCAGTGATACAATGACATCTTTGGCCCAACACCTTCCATGCTGAACAAAAGATTCCACAGTGGCAACACCAACATCAGGATGCACTTCAGGAAATGCTTCAAGAATAACATCTTTCTCATCCAAGGATGAAAGTGCATTAAGTGGAGATTTTCTAATGGTGTCACCAGAATAAAGAAATGAGCCATCTTCCTTTCCATTCATAATGTCATTATTCCTGGCACTCAAATATCTGCAGATCAAGGAGTACTCAATGTTTAGCATGTTGTTGATAATGTCGACAAGACGGGTGAATTCCCTATGCATTGCTTCAAAGCGGAAACAGGCTTGCTGGCGAAGTGGCCCATGAAGAAGAGTTTGCATTTTCAGATGTTTTAGGCAATGCAGTTTCAGTGTTTTATATTCAGGATAAATTCTGATGAAGTTCTCACCAAAGGTCACTATTTGAGCTTCAAATTCATCCATGTCCAGTTCAGTAGTTTCAAACTTCATGATATATGAAATTATTTTAAGCATCTGTCCCAGCAAATCAAGTTTTTCTTCAGAAACATTGCCAACAGCAAGAAATGGAAGAATATGAACTAGCACTATCATCTGAGAAGCACTTTGCTTTAGTTTGCTATTTAGATGTGATTTCTCGATTGGAGAGGGTTTGCTGACATGAAGATGCCCAAAATCACAAGCCTCTTGAATAGTTTGGTTGACAAACTTCAGTGATACTTTGGGTTTTTCTGCTGATGTCTCGGTCTCTTGCTGACTCTTACTGTTCCTCTTCCTTTTGCGCTGAGGAGAGCTTGGCAGTTTGCCTTTCTGGTTTCTCTTACGTTTGGGCTGAACTGAGCTTGGCTTTTCACTTTGCTGTTGGTCGTTCGTTTTTTTTTTCTTCAAGCACATCTCTTTTAATAGGAGACGACATAACAACTCAGCTGTTCCTTCAAAAATAGCATGCATTATGTCAAACGGAAAGCATTTAGTGACATCAAAGCCTGGTGCCCCAGACAAAACACTTCTTCTATTGATGCCATAATTTACAGACGGGTCACAATGATCTGTATACTTAGGACTATCATCTTGTACCAGGTCATCCTCTTCTGATACTTCAACATCAACAAATTCAGAGTCACTTTCTGCTTCTAAATTTACGTCCAGTTTCACCAAGGAGACAGAATTCTGCTTCACACCATTGCCTTCAACTTCTTCAACAAATTTTTCATGGTCAACAATTTTCCTGAGTAGTCCTTCAACTTCTTCGAAATGGTCACATAGTTCATACCGCGTAACCATACAAACTCGACAAGGACGCAGAGCAAAGTGAGATTCTTTCATGCCTGCCAAATTAGCTGCAGCCGGCATGTCAGCAGAAACAAATTGTAGAATTCCATAAAACTTTCTCTGTTCACCATTCACAGTCAGCATTACACCATCAGCCAAGTCTTTCAAATCATTTATAAAGTACTTCAGAATTTCATCATTTCCATACTTCTTGGCAACTTCATAGCGTGCAATTGCCAATAGATTAATTGACTTCAGAGAGGAGCGGAGCTCTGGGTATATGTTTCCAAGGGTCCAATAAAACAGGCGCAACTTATGTTTCTTGGTTTTAGATTTGCATGGATCTGCAAACTCAACATCATCAACGTAGATGATGATGGACAAAACTCCATTTCCATGCCGCCTGACAACAAAATGGCATTTATAAAAGATGCCGTCTGTCACAGATCTCAGCACTCCGTCTTTACTTGGCTTTGGATTATCAACGCAGTGCAAAACATCCTTACAGTTAAGTAGCTGCTCCAACTGTGGAAGAAAAGGTGGAAAATATGCACAGTCCTTTGGCACCTTGTAAGGGATGCCTCTTCTGAAGACAATTTTGTAATCAAAAACCAATTGGGTCAGTCCAAATGGATTGTCATCGCAGCTTCTGTGAGCAATGAAGGAATCCAAGTACGGCTGTGAGTGGACACCTTCAAAGAATGACTGGCCTTGAAGAGAGTCAAGTACCACAGATATATTCTTGAGACTCAAATGGCCATCCTGCAACTCCAATTTCTCTGTAAGCTCCTCCTAAAATATTCAAAGAACAAAAAATATTAAACAAATGAAAATAAAAATAAAAGACAGAGGAAAACATAAAGGCTCTTACCTTCAGAAACTCAAGATATGTATCAGTTAAATTGGAAACTTCTTTAATGACAAAATCTATTGCTCCTTCACTAGTTCTAAATTTGCTTTTCAATGTTGATAGGAAGGAAGCAGCTGCCTCCTGCAGGGTACTCGCAGCTGAGCGACTGGAGCCTAAAGAAAAACAAAGAACGCCCAGGTTAAGTTTGATAAACAAACCAGTAATATTAACAATACTGACAATACAATACAACAAGAAACAAACCTGCCATTGAGATGAGAGTGTCAAAAGTTCAAACATGAGAAAAAAAACACCTTCAATTCATGTCAGATTTAAAAACCACTGCAAACATTAAACATTAAAAAGAATTTGCCGCAGCCTTGCCAGTGAGGGAAATGGTACAGATCTGAAACACAACAAAATCATCAAAGGAACTGTGTAGGCGGATAAGTAAAAATATAAAAAGTGGAAAGGCAAAATTTTATGGACAGCTCACCGACAAAATAGGTTTGAAGCAACTTCTTGCAAAACAAATGAAACTGGCTAGCAAGGTACTCGCATCAAAGCAACTGGGGCCTAAAGTAAGACAAAGAACGCTCAGAATAAGTTTGATAAGTGGTACAAACACTACTGACAATACAATACAACAAGAAACAAACCTGACATTGAGTGAAGACTGTCATAAGTTAAAACATAAGAAAAAATAACCTTCAATTTGTGTCAGATTTTAAAACCTCTGCAAACATTCAACTTTAAAAAGAATTTGCTTGAAGCCTTGCATGTTAGGGATATCTCAGATCTGAAACACACCAAAATCATCAATAAAACTGAACTAATAAGGGGACATATAAAAAGTGGAAAGGCAAAATTTAAAGGACAGCTCACCAACAACAAGTATGGAGCAACTTAATGCAAAGCAAATGAAAACTGGCATCTGCAAAAGCATGTCTCGGTCAGGTTAAGGGAAACCAAAACAACGTAAACAATGATCATAATTGCTGATGCGAGCGAACGTACCGTCACGTAAACTCACAGTTTCATATCGTACACAGGCAAAACGGCCATAAAGAGAGGCAAAGCAGTAGAACTGTAAATGCCCCAAAGCTTGGAAGACAGCAAGACCTGGAAACCAAAACAAGTCTGCATGAAACCGGGCAACTAAGAGGAAACAGTCGCCTCAGAAGAACTACTTTGACATAAGTTACTCACCAGCTTGAATTAAAAGCAATCAAATGTTAAAAGTGAATGACTAAAATGACTTGGCAGTCTGAAAAATGTGTTCAACTGTAGGCATCAGCCTAAATTTGAAACTGCTATAGGGCATGGGCACATCGAGACAAGTGAAGGTTTCACTGGGGATCATTGAGCGGGAACATTCAAATGCTCCCCTTTTTGTAAGGCATGGTGTTTACTGCTGAAAGAAGATAAATGTTGCAAAGATGCCTAGAGGGCATGGGTAGGCATCGAAGCACGCATAGAAGTTGCTGGAGAGTGTTAAGACTGCTTAATCAAACTTTGGCCTTAATGAAAGTAGGACCCCCAGCGGTAGCGCCTGCTGGGTAGGCAACAAGCAGTACACAACCGTCCATAACCTCCAACTGCATAGCTTTTATTTGTTTCACGTGATGAAGTCCTAAAATTTTCAATGAATCCATGTTCCTGAAAGGCACGAATGCCAATAAATTCGTGGGCGAGTGATAACCTCCTCTTAAATCGTAGATATATCGTAGGAAAGACGTCGAAATTCAAGCTTCCCGCGAGATTGATCCCCAGTGAGTAGAGAACGTTCTGGGTCCCATCACCGCTAGTGACTTCCAAAAAGCCCACTGCCCATGCTCTATTCGTATTACCCAAGGATGAGAAATTCAGAAGCCGACTGTATAATTTTTCATCTAGGGGCAAAATGAAAAGAAGTTCGAAAAAAAAAAGGCACCAGGGTTAGTTACCTTTTAAAAATATAAAATAATTCAAACAAAAATTCACACTATCTAATGAAGAGGAAAAAATTTTCCATTAATTGGTTTAATGGTATCGTCCATTCCTGCAAATAAGTAAACAAAAGACGATCGCTGCCGCGGCAGTGGCAGACGACACTTGTTGTTTGTTTGTGTTTCTGGCTTTCATCCGTTTCGGTAGCGATGCAAGTAATTTTATTCACCCAAACTCTTGTGGTGCGCGAGTGATTTCGTCAGACAGTCGCCCTGTGTACTCAAAACAGTGCCGGACTCTGCGTACAGTGTGAAGTGACGCGTCAGGAAGGTTCTCGGACTGACTTTCGAGTGGCAGAGGTGACGGGAAGAGCAGGTTAGGGCCAGTGCCATGGCCGCTCAGTTTCCTTGTGACTGCCCTCATCCCAGCTATCCAGCATCTCTTTCTGTGCTCACCTTCCTTGTCAACGATTTCTTCACGGAGCCTCGAATCGCACCGATCACAGCAGGCATAGGATAGGTGTTCTCTTTCCCCATTTGGGTTCAGGTATGTTGCAATAAAGGGTTTCAATGATGCACCACTGCAGCATCAGCATCTTGTTCAGTTGGGATTGTGATACAAGCTTTGAGACCACAGGCAGTTTCATAAAAGATTGCAAATAGACATCCAATTTTAAGATAGCTTGGCATCGCATACAGACCAAATTTAAATTCCATTGTATTATCAAGCCAAGCGTAGGACATTTGAATGGTCTGCGCAAGGAAGTGCGAACCACTGATGGTCCACGCAAGAAAGTGTGGACCATTCTTGGTCCACACTTCCTTGCGTGGACCATTCTTGGTCCACGCTTTCTAGCGTGGACCACTGATGGTCCACACTTTCTTGCGTGGACCAACAGTGGTTCGCATTTCCTAGCGTGGACCATTTTGGTCCACGCAACCTAGTGCGTACTTGGTCCACACTTGGACTGGCAGTGCTCTTACTGTTGTGACAGCCCAGCTTCATGCCCTGCCCAGTGTCGTGAAAAGTTCCCTACAGTGCTAGAGGGTAAAAAACTGTGTGTGAACTGCAAAATCAAGGTGATGAAGTGTGTTCAACCGGAATCTCCTAGTGCAACCAGTGGTGCGCGTGTTCGGAACGAGAGCCCCCGCCACCCCGCACCCCCGGGGCGTCCCCACTGGGGGCCCCGCCTCCGCCACCCTCACAGACCAGCTGGACGACCGCAGAGGAGGAGGGTGCTGCGGCCATGATGATGGTAAGTTTCAATTTCAGTTTCTTTTTCATTTTTTCCCTATATTTTGATGTTGTGCGAGTAACTTTGCTTTATGTTTAAGGAGCTCGGAGGTTCGGATACCTCCAAGGAGAGCCTCTTGTCAGCTTACGACTCGTGCACCTTAGTAAGTTTCCCTCACCACACGCGCCATTCTTCTCGTACTTGTTTCTCAGTCGTCTAATAATTTTTTCTTTTTGTTGCAGTCGGACTCTTCCACCTCAATGATGGTCGATGAGGAGACTGCGTCGCAGCCAGAGGAGGGCGAGGCCCGTCCTGTCACCCCACCCCCCGAGGTGCCACGCCGACGTGGGCTGTTGCCCACGCCCCGACCTGAGATGCGCGTCGTAAGTATGCTTTCCAGTGTTTCGTGTGTGTGGTTTATGGCATGGATTCCGAACCTCATGTGTTGTGTTTGATGTCCCAGAGCGCCCTGGACGCGACCCGGCTGGGCGCCGCCCCCTTCAGGCGCACCCCCGGGGCCCCCACCGTCCCAGTGGGCGCCGACGCAAGGTTTCCTTATGTAAAACTGTCCTCGAATCGTCAGTCCGAATTATACCACTGCCCAGTCAACAAGTGCCTTTTTCCATCATCCCGTTCAGTACTCAACACTGGCGACGAGGCTTCGAGTCTGAACCATGCTGAACGTTGACTAACTACGGACTCCGTACCCCGCTGGCCACGGGAATACGGTCACATCGTGGGACTGTCCCTTCACGCCGTGCACCGACAACAACACCACCATGGCGTCGGCTCCACCACTCCGGTACGACTCCAAGCTGCCCGAGAAGTGGCCGACGTTCAGGCGTCAGATCAAGAACCACATTGCTTCGAAGGGTTTGATCGGCGACGCCCAGAAGAAGGGAATCGTCTTGGATGCCCTCGACGACCACACTCTGGACCGTCTTGACAGATGGCTGGAGCCCATTTCGACCGACGACGCGACGGACGAGTTGGTGCGGGATACGCTCATCGACAACATGTCCACGCCGGTAAATACAAGTGCACAGTACATCAAGTTCACAGCGCGGCGTCAAAAGCACACTAAATCAACACTAAATGTCTTATGTACTTTATTGTCCATAGCTATGGCCGTTTTGGTACATACAGAACTTATGTACAAATTTGTACATAAATTAGGAACAATATTTCCATATTGTGCTTAAGTATGTAAAACATTGTACCTAATGTATGTACAAATTTGTACATAACTTCAGTATGCACAAATACGGCCATGGTTATGGACATAAAGCGACTTTAAGTCCATAAGCATTTAGCGTGAGGTCGGTGAGTCAGTCCCCGCGTTTCACGAAGCTCTGGCGGTGGCAGTAGACACCATTGGAGTGGCGGATCGCGCGGCCAGGGACACACTGCAAAAAATTCCGTACTTTTGTACGGAAATGGTACAGTAAAATATTGTACAGAGAAAAGTACGGAACGTTCCACTGTGGCAAAAAGGTACGGAAAATCCTGTTAATTTTTTTGCCAGAATTCTCCGTAGCCCTCTTATCAATATTCTCCGTAGGCTCTTACAGTATTCTCCGTAGGGCCGTACAGTATTCCCTGTAAGTCTGCACAGTCTTCTCCGTAGGACTTCGAAGACTGTATAGTCCTACGGAGATCACTGTAAGGTCCTACGGAGAAGACTGTGCGGTCCTACAGAAAATACTGTAAGAGCCTACGGAGAATTACCACAAGCTGTTTACAGAATTTTCCGTAGCTTTTTGCCACAGTGTCCGTACTTGCTCCATAAGAACCCATGTAAATGGGTACGGAAAAAAAGTACGGAACGTTCCGTAGTTGGCATGTACGGACGGTTCAGGCAAATTGTTGACCAGACATGTTCCGTACTTTTTCCGTAGTAGTCTCAACAGAAAAATAAAACAAATCAAACACCAACATATTAATTGGCAAAGACACGAAGTCTTTGTTGAGTGAAACGTTGAAAATATATACATTTTTAACAGCTTCTCTCTTTTTGTTGTTAACTCATCAGCAGATCTCTCAGAAGACAACAGTCATGATGCTGGTCCTCTTCCTACATCAAAGGACCATGACAAATCCGATCTACCCGAAGGTGAAAATCTTAGTCTGGATACAGTCCAAATGGTCTCCGTTGCTCAAAGCTCCAACGCAGACACAGAGCAAGCCAAAACAGTTAAATAATTTTTTAAAACTAATGCATTATTATGTTAAACAGATTAGTTTCTCTTAATGTTTTCCTTTGTGAAGAATGAAAGACAGATCAGTAATAGGTGTGCACTAGAACTTAAAAAGACTAACGAGTGTTTCTTGTACGATTCACAGGGGGAAAGCCACAATGCCCTGTATGCCTGGAGCCTGTCAAACGGCCTTATACGTGTAGCCAGTGTCGCAATCTTTTTTGTTGGATTTGCTTTGATGAGTGGTGTAAGAAAGCTTCCATGTGTCCCCTTTGCCGAGACAAAAAGGATGTACTCTTAGTCACCCCTAAAGAGTGTGACGAGTTATTTTCTAAAGACTTACGTGGAGTAGAAAAGGGTGTGGCGTCTCATTCTGTCTCATTAGTTGTATCTACCCAGTTTTAACTGTGCTCCATTTTGAGCTGTTTTTTATTTTCATTCCTGTGTTCCCTTTTGAGCTGTTTTTTATTTTCATTTCTGTGTTCCATTTTGAGCTGTTTTTTAATTTCATTCCTGTGTTCCATTTTGAGCTGTTTTTTATTTGCATTCAAGCATATGCTTTAGACATATCAATGTATCTTGAGATTCGAAATATAGTTTTGTTTTGCACCATCTTTTCTCTCAATTCATGCAATAAATTCCCTTCACTGCTAAGCAAAAGAGTTGAAATAAATGGTTGAAGAATGTTGCATAGGAGTCCCAAAAGAGTACACAAAAATAATTCATTGTTTCTATTTACTGATTGGATATGGTTGTCTTCTCAAAAAAATCTATAAACCACCACTATGGAAAGAATAACAAAAAAAAAGGTGAAATGGCTCCATAGCACCCACAGTTTTTTAAATGCTTGAATGACATTGTACAGAGGGAGAAAATAGATACTACAAACATCCTGAGAGGTAACAACACGACAGCAAAAGAACATTAACACCAATTAACGTACAACCTCTACCACCTTCGACGACGAAGCTTCGGCGGCCTGCAGGTCTAGACCTGCAGGCCGCCGCCGCTGCCAGCCCTCTGGAGCTGCCTCCACTGCCGTTCCACACCCAGCCAGTGGAGCGCTTTGCCAAGGAGGTCACCACCGCGGCGGAGAGGGTGGTCGGCCAGGAGCGCCGCGATGGCTTCATAAGGA